AAACGACCCACGTGTGAGCGTTGCAAAGATCAAAATCTGGGGTGTGACTACGCAGTAGACAGTGTTCGCAATATTTTGGAAAGGTGAGTTTGGCTAGTGCTTCGGTAAAGATCCAACAGCCTGTGCTTACGGCTGATGTAGGAAGGATAAGGCGACCCAGCTTCTCTTGGACCGGATAAATGATATGGAAGATGGTCTGAATGAAAAGCTTGAACGACTCTCGGCAATTCAGATAGAAACCTCGGCTCAACTTAGTCGGATGTCAGAATGTTCTCTGTTGAAGCCCAGGGTCGTGAAGCGCAAAGAAATAGAGAAGAAATCGCGTGCCCAAGTTCTAGATGATCGTTCAATACCTGTTGATCATACCATGGCAAACAACAAACTGCTCTCGTGGCCGTCTATCAAGGGCCTTATTGGTCCGAGAGAGTACGATGAAGATCACATTATGGAGCTGGAAGAGGAAAGGGGAATTACCTTCATCGTCCAAGCCCGTTCCCAAAAAAACGATGCGTGTGAGTTCAGCCACGGAATTCCCATCAAGGACGTCTCAGTCTGATAGGAACAAGAATTACAACATTGATACATCTGCTAATGATCCACATAATCCAGGCGCTATCCGAACTGGCCACAACCTGAAAGCATTCGATCTTGGTATAGATGAACACGGATCATTCAGCACAGACGCTGAGACCGTACGTCGCTATTATCAGAGTTATATGAATCACATGCATAAGCTTCATCCATTTCTCAGTCCAACCGAAATGAGCGCTAAAATCGAATCGTTTATTCGCAAGTACTGTCCATTCGAGGCGTCCATCCCGGGAAAGACGTTGAACAGCCATAGTACCAACAACTTGCCACGCGGGGTGAAAAGGAAGACTTCATGGAAGGAGATATATGATGCAGGACCTGTCAGAGACTACCTTCCTGGAGTAGAATCCAGAGGATTCAGCAGACGGCATGTCGAGAAGTCGCTGGAGAATGCCATTATCCTCTCTATTCTTGCACTCGGCAGTATCTGTGAAGTCCAGGTAGTTATCCCTGGTCTAAATCCCGACACACCCGCGGATCCCCAAAAGGAGAGAATTTTTGAACCCTCCACACGCAGTACTCTAACATTAGGAGAGACAGAGTTGGTCTTTCAGTTACGGAAAGACTTCTCTTCGCAGGCATATAACTATTATTCATCGGCAGCTGTAAAGGACCAGAACAATACTCCCGACAGGTCGATGTCCCGGGACTGTCATCATTTAAGGAGCGCGGATGTCATGCCCGGTTTGGCATACTATATATACGCGGCACAGATTCTGGGGAGTTTTCAAGGTGCGAACAGGCTGCATTATGTACAAGCAGCCTTACTAGCAGGGCTTTATGTGGGACAGTTAGCACTTCCTTTCCAGAGTCATGGATGGATCTATCAGGCGGCCAGGGCATGCCAGGTGCTTGTTCGATCGTATGTCTTGTCTAAATACTAAAGATTTTGCCATGGTGAGGCTCTTAACCAGTCCCAGGAAACGGTATGAACAGATTAGCGATGGTCCATTGAAAGACATGTACGACTTTGCGTGCTGGACCTGCCTGCAGCTGGAGAGGTAAGTATAAGCAGATTTCTCTTTTCATCGGCTTCTCAGAATTAATGAACGAACTATTGATGCAGCGATATCCTTGCCGATTTAAATCTTCCGGCTAGCGGTATATCTCATTCCGAAGGACGTATTGGCTTGCCGAAGGGTCGGGCTCTATGTTTGTCTCAGGACGGTTTTTCTTCGAACAGCATGGGAATGTTCATCTATTCCGCCCGAATTTATCTTACAAAGATTCTGAACCGTCTTGATAGTCACTTATACACCTTTGAAAGTAAGTCTGTCTCGGTGAGCAGTAAGTCTCGGCATTACTAAACTTATTTACAGCCGGGAAACAGGAACAGTTGTCTTCCTACAAAATAGGGATCCTAAGCATGAACCTCGAACAGTGGAGAAAGGATTTACCAGAATCCATGACATGGAAGGACACAGACCCTCCATCTCCGGACATCAATGTGGCCCATATGAGAGCCAAATATTACAGCGCGCAATATTTAATACATCGGCCCCTGCTTTACTATGCCCTGCATCATTCCAGCCTTGGCCCATGTGGTCGCTCAATACCAGTCCCGTCCCTGACAGGATATACAACATCTGGAGAGGGATCGCTACCGTCTCCTTCGGTAGCGCACGGGCGAGGAGTTAATGATATGTCCCAATTACCAAGTGATGTCAATGCCCCGGATGGAACTGTAACAAGTCCAGACCCCCATCTAGCAGAAGGACCGTGGACACGTCTTCAATATTGTGACCTTAGTCCGGAGGTACGAAGAGCGTGCAAATTGTGCGTAGAGTCTGCAATCCTGAGCACTCAGGCTTTTGATGCCATTGAAGGCCGCCCGGTGGTGACCAACATCTTCGGATTGGCCCATGCGTGAGTGAAATCCCTAACCATATCACGTTTCCTGCTGACCTTCCCGGCGACTTTCTAGTCAATTCAGCAATATGCTAGTATTATCGGCTACTTACATGTCAAGTCTCTCGGAGTTGGTGGACCGGAATGGCCTCGATCGATTACTCAAACGAACGATCCGTTTCCTCCAAAGTTGCGGGAGATCTCCTACTCTACGTACTGATGCAGAGATTCTTAGTGAGGTCTATGTAAAGATATTCGGGGAGCCACCCAACATCGCTATTCTATGATACTAGCCAAATTATTCGCTGGGACGTTTCCTGCTACCTCAGGGTTATTTATGTACTTACAACAGCCATTAGTCTTACGACTACTCCTTTTACCCTTTCGCCGATCATGCTGCTTAGTAGCACACCAATGAAAACTTGATTGTTATGCACAATGCTTGGGCATGCATTCGCTAGAACTGAATAACCAACAGATCTTTCAATTCTGCGAAGAACATATATCAACGGCAGCTCCATTTCCATTCCAGCGTATCCAAGCCAGCACGACCTGCTCCCTGACAGACTGCGGCACAGGGTTGAGATTACATGATCGGATCTAACGGCACGCAGAGTATGGCGATAAGCCTACGGTTCCGAGGAGACCAGGATTTCAATTGATTGCTCATAATGCAGGAGCTAACGAGTGAACCTGTAGTGACAGAGAGGGGATAAATACTCTCTTCGTAAGGACACTGCGTTTATCCCTTCCCTTCCCTCTGTAAGCTAATATGTATCTATCCTTGATATTCTATAATAGAGTACGTTGAAGTGTTTTCTTCGTGCTTTCGCGCTTATAAATTTCCTAATTATTGGAATTAGACAGATAAATAAAACTGTATTAAATATAATAAATTTTTCTTAGAATATTTCTTGATAGGGTTATAGATAGTTTCAAGCTCTTCGAGAATTATATATATAAAACAATCATTTTTAGAAATTTTCTTTCTTCAGCTGGATTCTATATAGAATGACTAACGGCCAGGTGTTACAGACCCCTGCTAGTTAACTACAAATAAGACAGACTCACCAGGCAGAAAGCGCTGATAAGGGCAGCACTCGGGCAAACAACAACTCTTATCAAGTAGAGTTACGGATTGCTCTAACAACGCCCAGAACAGCCATACATCACGTGACTACGAAGCAGTCACCGACAAGCCAGAACATGCCGACATTACGTTCGGAACATATCAGCAGCACGATATAATATATCGGCAACATAATATATCATGGCAGCGACATGAGGAACGGAGACATATAATAAAACCCATTCATATACTTAGTTAGTTCTGTTCTTCGTGCTCAATCCAATTATCTTTAAGTAGCTATACGTTTGGAAGCTGAGCAATAACACTCGTCCGCACTTACTTACGGATAGCTGCGCGGCACTATTCGGCCTTACTTCTCTTCTTTTGTCCAAGACCAGTTGTCCTTAGATAGTCATCAGCCTGATACCTCCTCGACCCAGTTCGACGGTACGTATACCATTGAAGCTAAGCTAACAGGGACAGGGAAGCGATCCTAGGGTTTGACACTTATCTATTTATTCCAGCTGGCAGCAGGGTGAGATAGCTGGCTAGTCTTCTACTGATGTTAGTTATACTACTTCTATTTTATCTATTTTATCAGCTTTTGATGCTTTCTTATCAAAAAAGGAAAAAGAAAAAAAAGGGGGGGAAGGGGGAGAGTATCGATAATAAAAGAAAATAAGAGATAAAGTGACTAAAGTATTTATATATAACTAGATGAAAGAGATGGCTTGACTTCATGTGACCAGCTAAATGCTTAATAAGCAGTTTACGGCCAACAGAATTCAAATATGCTGTCTAGCCGATCTGCAACCACGGTATGGTATCTGGCGGGTCGGTCTCCGGGGAATTTTGGCGAGGCCTAGTCGATACAGAGCACCGCGAAATGTGATTCAACAAGTTCCGAACGAAGGCACCTTCGGGATTATTTCCTGTAACCACCCCGGTTTATCTTTTTAACTTTCCTGCTATCCAAATTGGAGCATAGATTAAGCTTAACAGGGAATACCATCTATTCAGTTAATATCCTGTTTTCATAACCAGGAAAACTGCAAAATTTTTTCTAAAAAATCTCTTTTAATATAGGGTTCCTGACTGGATACCGTATAAAATATGTTGAAACGACGTTTTAGGTCAATATTGAAGTCGTTGAAAACGCTTGATTCTTCGCTATCTAGGCGCGCTCGGAAGGAGCGGTTGAGGTTACGGAGTTTACGGGTCACGTGACCTAGACTACCAGTAATCTCCTGAGATTACGTTCCAACATTGTATATCTCAAAAAAGATATTATTTTTATAATACTGTAATCCGGATAATACTATTAAAATATAAAATTAAATATAAGAACTCTGATACTTACAATTAGAAGACTATACTAAAATTTTATAAAATAAAAATTTATTATTATTTTTTTAATATATTAGCTGTCATCACCAGTATAAACTGCGGGGATTCTGAGCTTAATCTAATCTTCTGAATCCAGTATACTTAGTTATCCAACCCGTGTCTCCGCCCATTGCCGCTGCAAATCCTGAATCCTATATTTAGTTGCCCACCCGGAATCGCATTCCACCTGCTGCAACAGATCGACTACCAACTGCCGCTCCGAGTCCTGCTCGAAGCACTGCCCTGCTACAAATAACGGCTGCACCGTGTGCGGGAGGATTGCGTCGGGTAACCCGCCCAGACTAATACCGCAAATCTCACGCGCGTGACGCACTGCCAATTCCGCGATCCGACGATAGGAGCGCAATCGTGCTGTTGACCGGATTGCCGTTGATTCTTGTGGCATGTTAGTCAACAACAGAACGCGCGCCATGTGGTAGGTTTGCATGGTAACGGCGCACATAGGGACGGTGAAGATGATGGCGTCGATGGTATCCGTAGAGGTGGTGTTTGTGGCGACGTTTGCGGCCGCAGGAGCGGATGCGGTGCGCGGGATCGGCACGGCATTGGAGAGAAAAAGTCGGCTACGCGCGCAGGGGGTGAACGAGCGGGGTACAGTGTCATACCAGGCACGGAGCTCAATGTCGAGACGCTTCCACCGTGCCAGGAGCTCCTCCTGCGTGGTGCCGAAGCACGGACGTTGGCCCCGGGGATTTTCAAAGTCGCCCGGAGTAATCCCGTCGCCGCTGGTAATGAAATTGATAATCTTACTAATGATCCAGATTAGGGCGTTGCTGAGCATGTCTTCACAGAGCCAGGTGTGCGCCGGGGGAGGAAGGGGGAGAGGAAAGGCGAGAGGGCTTGGAGAGGGAGAGGCCATAGCCGGAGAGGCAGATGGGGGTAAAAAATGGCCGGAGGAGGAGATAATGAGGCCGAAGTTGCGCCAGAGAACAAGATCAGAGAGGTTAAGGCGAGTCTGGGTTTCGTTGATAACTGTTCCCGGGTTGAATGAGATCGGGCAGCGGCAAACGGAAGAATAGCTGATGATGAGAAACCTACACGCTGAGAGACAATCCTGCCGGACGAGACTCCAGAATACGGAGCGAGAGATGTGCATCAGGGAATTAGGTAGAGCAGATGTTGGGCTCTTGCTCAATTCCCCTGGAGTCCCACAGTATAGAAAGGGCAGGGCACTTAGATGGGCCCGCCATTCAGTACTGGGGGCATCAATCAACTCATACATACAGAGAATAGCAACAACTGCAAATATTTCCTCGCGCTGATTGTCAGGGATTTCCAACAAAATTGCTGCTTTTAAATAATGAATCGTCTGGTCATAGAAGCGCACTGATTCATATCTGCAGTCCATTTCTCTGATAGTCCACTGCAATGGGCTGTTACGCATGTGGGGAAGCTGTAAGATCCGGGTTGGATCTCCCCGGCATATTCGGTGTAGATGCTTTGCTGCGAGAGCGCAAGCGGCGGCTTTCAGCATTGGCTGAGTAGCCACCATGACGGGTATCTTTGCAGAGTAATAAGCATCGGAGTCAAAGCAGTCCAACCTATGCAAACCGTCAAGTGATTTTTCTTTTCCCAGCGGAACTCACGTCCCAAAGGGAGAGCGCATTACCATTGACTGGGGCATTCTTTGAAATGCTGCAGTAACACTGCCGTCAAGGCCCCATCCTTTTCCGGCGGTGCAGTGCTGCTAGTAGAACTCGGGATCGCATCCTCAACAGTTGGTACTGTTGAAGGAGGGGTTACCAGATGATTATCATCTGGGACGTTTGTCAGTTCCTCGTCGGCGAAAGGATCTCTGACCTGGACAAAGGTGACTGTCACAATGTCAACTCTCGCTACCCCTCAAATTCACGCCGCCCTCGCAGGGATTATGAGGGGGCCGGCTTACGATCAGACGGTACTTTGACCCACGTCGGTACTCTTTCACGGCTAGAATGGTCCCCCGCGCGATTGCAAAAATCGGCGGCGCTATAGTAACGGAAAATGCAGTTTGAGAAGACACAATCACGAGAGGCTTTGGCACACGGCCCGCAGACAGGCCTTTCTTCATTGCATTTGACCTTGCGTTGTCTACACGTCTCACTGGAATTGAAGTGGGGATTATGACGATAACTCTTGGCTGAAACGGGTGGTGTTCTGCTTACCAGGCAAAGTAGGAACGCATGTCGGCCCAGAGGTGAACATCAAACCGGGTGTGGGAGATGCGGCTAAGAAAGGAGACAGACAAAGAGAGCGTGGCGGGGTCGGGTCGGGGTAAAAAGGGAAAAGGAGGCGAGATCTTTGCTTGGACAGACCCTTTCCGTATGGGTTGGAACATGGAAATGCTAACGATTAAGCTCTACCTACTTACGAACAACTGTGGGACGATCCCAGAGCGACCCGTTGGGTGGATCCCTAGCTTCAACGCGCAGTATACCATCCAAACTGGTCCCCGTTAACCCACGCGGCATATATATATGTACAATGTAAATTGACAGTACTAAGACATCTATGACATTCCACAATGACGGCTGTTCTTATGTTGGTATACTGACTGAAGTGTAGACAGGCTCGGCCGACCGGGCCCATACTGTTTAAACACGACGAAAAATAAAGACCAACGCGAGTTTCCCTTTTGGGTCAAGCGGTCAGATTGGATCACCTGACTACGGCGGGCAATAGCGGCCATCGGGCAAATGTCTTGAAGCGCTTTCACCGCTCTGCATACCACATCCTAAATAGGATCTATATGATGCTGTACGAGTCCTATCTCTATTTATCATTAAGCATGGCTCCTGTCATTGACCTTGAGCCACACAAGGCTGAGATTACCCAACTCTGCTATCAATCTATCTATAAGTAATATTACTTCTACTCTCGAAGTAGAATACTAGTATATATATACCCATAAATATATAAGTAAGAATTCCTGAAGCAGTTGGGGGATTAGCAAGCCTAATTATACCGCTACTACTAATTATCCTCTACATTATGTTATGAAGAAGTTAGTTTTTAGTAAATTTTCATAAGTTTTTACAAGTGACCTTCCTTATCCAGGGACAAGCACTGATCCTCAGCTGAGTCTGACCAACAAGAGCTCGAAGCTCGAACGGGCGAACCACTGAACCCCTAAAGCTCGCCCGGCTCGGCAAACTGCCATGTCTACCATGGGTAGTGTATAACTACACACCTAGTTACTGAGCTGTTGGCTGAGTAATCAGATTCAGTTTCATGAAAGAAAGAGGAGGCGATGGTGGTGTTATGGCGCAATAGTCTCCAGCAATCAGTATATCTTCCATAGGCTCTGCGCTTGAAGCTTAACAAAATCTCAAAATCATTCCAATTTGCATGAAGATATGAATGTGCCGCGTATAAATGCCTTATTTTGATTAGAAATTGCCCTTGCTTCCGCCAGCTTCTCCGACGATACTTGCAGTTGGCGATTATACAAGCTTGCTACAAGGATCAAGGACCCCTCTTGGAGTGCAGATTCCCCTTTATCTAAAATAACACTGACTATATTACTAGAGCTTCTGTATTCTTACAGCTGGCTAGGATTGAAGGTATCAAGGTTTTGCAATAAACAAAATTAGTACTAATTTCCACGTATACTATCAATATATATATATCTCTATCAATGCCTTCAACTGGAATCCTGCACAGTATTCTAGACAGCTGCTGGGACACTCCCTGGTACAAAGATTTGATTCATCCCATCAGATTCTCATCCACTTGTCGCTCTGATTTCCCGGTGTATACGCGTTTCTGTTGGGGCTGGGTAGCATACAGCACATGTCTGTACCTCCTTCCGAATAGCTGCGCGGCACTATTCGGCAAGACTTCTCTTTCTCCGTCCACGACCAATAGCTCTCTTTCTGGTCTTGGATGATCGACCTTCGATCCAGTATGTCAGGTTCGTATGCTCGGCTAAACTAGGTAACAGGGATAAGGGAGCACTGATCATAGGCTTTGATTATCTGGCTTCGCAGTTCCTTCATCTCTGACCAGAGCTTCCATTCCGTTTAGTCCGTCCCATATTTTGACCTGCTCAAATCTGGCGCTCTCATTATCACCTGTAGCGAACGCGACTATCTCCCTTTCGGCCTTGTGACTTCCAGGGTACATCATCGTTGCGAGGGCAAATCGGTCGTTGGCGTAGATCTCGACAATATCTGCGTCAACGATAACCCGGAGATGAAATCTTTCTAATTTTTCTGTACGTGTTCCATCTGTGACATAAAATAGGGTAAATGGACCTTTCTCTGGACAGGTATTCACGTCAGAACGGGTACTGGAACGGGACCGATCAATAGTAATCGTCTCATCCACAAGAGAGAAGACTATGACCCACTGGACGGGCTCTTCCCCCGCGCATCGAATGCGTAACCCAACAGTCTCGCAGCTAACACCAAGCGAGACGGTAGCTTCAAGCTCCCAACACGACGTTGAAGTGCGGCAAATGCGTGATTCGTTGTGAGTAGACTGAGGGAGAGAAAAGGGCCGTGCTTCATGGGCTTGAATACACTTGGTCCGCAACTGGGTGATTTCGGATACAGGGCGGATGCCTAACGAATAAAGAGTGGTGGAACCGTCGGCTTCTATTACCATCTCAATGCTGGGAATTTCGCCCAACTTGCTGCGGACCGCCCTGGTAACGTTGCGAAGCGAGAGTAGGAATAGCTGTCTTGGGAGACACAGAGAGCCATTCCAGCCTTTCTCACGTGCATGGCCTCCTGTAATGTCTTCCTCGGGGATCCATCCATACAAAATTCGTCTTCCAGATATTGGATCATTAAATGTGCTGGCCGCATATAAAGAACCATGGTCAAGGTACCCTCCATGTTTGAATCTGCATTTCAGGTTATCCGTTTGATGATTGCTTCCAGCCAAGTCTCCAAACATCCACAGCAGGGACCTTACTGTCCGTGCCGGCACGGTCACCGGTCGCTGATGATTTTCGATATGAGCACGTTCAACATCACCCTCAGCACCAAGTATCAGACATGTACGCGTAGCCGATGCGCTCTCGGACTCTAGATTCATAAAGTTGGCGCACTCCCAATTGATCCCGTAGTTGCCACACCATTTCTTCGACGGCTGAAATCGGAGTGGGAAATCGACAAGCTGCCCCAGATATTGCCAGTCGAAAGGCTCGTGCCACTGTACGGCATAAAGGAAGGCAGTCGGTCCTGCGTCTTGAATACCGCCAGAGATTATGCCATAGAGAGATCGTTGCCCTCGAAGTTTATCCATCTCCGGCCAGGGCGCGATGTACGGGTCGCGGAATCCGGTTACCCGAATGCTCTCTGGCTCACCTTGGACGATCGGATTTCTATTTGACTTGTTCCATGTCTTTCCTCCGTCGATGCTGTTGGCCATGGATAAACCGGCTGCGTTCCGGGGATAGGGTGGGGTGCTCCAATGGAAGGGGAGCTGCCGAACAGATGAGTAAAACACTGTGAGCTGCTCATTGTCTGGATGGCTTATGACAGGAAGAAAGCATCCCGTAAACACACCATCCCTGTCATAGTCATGATCTGGTTCCAGAACTGGCTGGTTTGACGGAACGGTCCAGTGGAGGAGGTCTTCACTCGTTGCATGTCCCCATGACATGTTACCCCATTCGCATCCCCATGGATTACCTACGGAAGTATCCTCGTTAGCAGTTCGAGTACGACGTAAGACATGAAGGTGGTATACATTGGTAGAAAAGATGATAGAGGCCAGTCCTTGGATCATAGCCTGGAGCGCAGGGGTCATTAATCCAATGCGGTGCGGTGATGTGGACCGTAGGATGACCAGGTCTGCTGCCACGGTTGGGCATGATTTGTGAACGGATTGCAGTCGGTGAACTTCCAACGCGTTAAATCGAATAATCTCTAGTAAAAATGTAAAGTAATAGCCAGTGGTTATTCCCCCATGGCATCAAGGGACAAGGGTTGCCTTTTTATGTTTTGATAGTTAAACTGTCTAAAATTGAGCTGACGGCAGGTGTTACTAATCGCTCGCGGAGCACAGGGCAGAACTCCGCGTAGCCTCAAAGTATGCTTCTCCCCAGTCCTGACGATGGCTCTGCGCCGCGGATCGTGGCATTGCTTGGAATGGATCGAATGAAACCCTAAAGCTTAAATGAGCAGTATGATGATGGCTCCTGCTTCGGACAAGTGGTCCAATAGTATGCTAAACGGAGGTCCTTACAGCTGACGTCCGTGTCTGCAATTTGTCATGCCCAGATGCCTGGATGACACATGAACCTCACAGGAGGAGAGGAGGTTACATTATTCGGGGTAGGGGCCCCAACTGGAAAATATCAGGCTTTGCCATCACGGCTTCGATGAGGCGTTGTAGGACCGCTGTACGAAAAAGGCAGATCCAATGGGCAGCTGTAGTAAAAGGGATAAAATGATCTGATCATTATTTATATTCAATGCTATTCTGGGCAATGAATAAGGCAGAAATAGCGAAACCCACAAGGCATCTCTGATATGCATTATATGAAGCTCAATTACAATATGAAATAATCCTTCAGAGGCGAGAGCCCTGACCAGCTGCAAGAGCCACGCATTCAATCTCGACCTCCAAGTTGCGGGGTAGCGTTTTCACAGCGACACAACTCCTAGCCGGCCGATGCTTGAAATATTGCTCATAAACCGCGTTGAACTCCGAGAAATGATCCATATCGTTCAGGAATACAGTGACTTTGACGACTTGACTGATATCACTTCCTGCCTCTGCCAATACTGCCTGAACGCTTCTACAACATGCGTGGGTCTTATCTGAAATGCTTCCTTCTAGAGGCACTCCATTGGTATCGATGGGAATCTGACCGGAAAGAAAGATGAATGGTCCAGCAACCATTGCTTGCGACTTCAATATGTTTTGTTAGCCTGGTACACTTGTAGTTTCTCTAAGGGGCTTATGACATAAGTCCGTGTACGGATAAGGAGTCATACATAGGGTCCAATTGCTACGCCGTTATCGAGTCAGTTCAATGGTTTCCTAAAGCCTCACCATATAGCGAAGGCATGACTCACCTGGGCATGCTTTTGAAGTCGATATGCGGGTGAGTCCAGCGGACATGGCGTCTTGTATAGATATGAGATCGAATAAATTTCTTTTCTTGTTCTACCCGAAGTGATAGAGAGAATGATAAAAGTTATTGACACCCTTAGTATTATTATATACTAGTCTAGGGCCAGTGTACCACACGGTAATCAATATGGAAGAAGAGTCTATATTCCGAAATCTCGGCCCGGCGTACGCCAACTGGATGACGGGCTATGTCCGTTCTGATCTGTTAAATACCGACAAAGCAGCCTTTACTGTTCTTGATGACATGCGAGATTTAAGGTCTTCGTATTGGATACCCCAAGAAAGGGGTGCCGCCGGAGAAGCAGAATGTAGCCCTGGAAAGAGAGGAAGAGAAACCGGGTGTACGTACCCGAAAGCCCCACAGTGGCGGTTATGGAAGCATACGGCGATTTCAAGATTTATTACTCGGCTATCGCGTAAAAGACAGTCTCTGAGAGTCTGACTATTTGGATAACCTAATTCAGCTATTTGTTCGGATGCCGTGGATGTTGCATTAGCTGGCGGACTTATCTTTTCTAATCAGTAGAGTCTAGTCTGCACACATCTCCTTCAAGGGTGGTGTTCCCGCCCATGCCCTTGATGTCGGAAAAGTGGCTATTACTTTAGCTTATATCGTTTGTGTTACCGTCTTTAGAAAGGAGCAGACTATGTGCATCGGTGGCGCCTGGGCGACTTGATTCGTCCACGCTAGTGGATGAGCAAGGAAGCACTTGCTAACTGAAGCTGAGCAATTGCTGGCCTTTGCCAAGTAAACATTCACCAATTTACGAATCCTGATTCTCGCAGCGAACGGCAGCACAAAGAAACGAAGATGCTCCTAGCTTCAAATAGCAGACCTTGATTCAATATGCTTTGCTATTGTCATATACAGCATTGTTTTTCTTTTTCCTGCCTTGAAAGCTTGCGAGAGCGCGAGAAGAAAGGGTGTAGTTTTGGGAGACGGTGGCCCAATCGTTAACAAGCTATTTCGTTGACCAGCCAAGGTCCTAGAAGAACTAGAAGCCGTGCCACATGTAAACAGACAAGAATATGCATTTTAATAACAATTTGAGTGTTGTGTCGTTCTTGCTTGCTTTTGAAATGAGCTTGTCAGGTGCTCGACCTTGATTCTAAGGAGGGAATTTAACCTCTCTGTGGCGTCGTTGGGTATTTTGTCATTAACGTAGCGAAAGATGTTTCGTCTTCGAAAAGTAGAAGCCGGACCTTCATCTACACACGCGAAAGAATAACAAAGAAGCTCAGATTGGCCGGAGATACGCTGCAGAATGTGCCGATAACTCTGAGAATACTCCTGGGCCACGTTGTACCGAAATGTCTTGCTAGACGACCAATCCTACAAACAAATCGAACTAGACTCATGTTAAAATGCGTTAGGCTGCAGTGGCGGTTTAGGAAACTGTCAACCTGCAATACGATTCGTTCAATCACAGATAACCGGTAGCGTTGATTGATCAACAGACTGAAAGGGAAGGCGACGGTAAGATTTCCCCAAGCGTTGAGAACTCATGCCTCCGTGCCAATTACAGATGACTTGAAGTGGATACTCTCGCGATATTTTCCTTTGTAGTCTGTTCTAGTAATCTCGGCCAGGACTGGGTTAGGGAGCAGCCAAATCCGATAACCAGATGCTTCGGCTGGAACCGACCATCCGTATTACCTATAGGTCATATTTATTGACCTGAGGATATTCTGCATACAGTTTCCAGCCAATGAGCTGGGTGAACTTCGCAAATAGGGGGTTGTCGGTTGAAAATCCTGTTATTGACCGATTGAAACCGGTAAAGCCGCCGAGCGACCAGGCAATAAGGCCACAACATGTCCAACTCAAGGCAGCTTGTGCCTTGTACTGCGATGTAAGAAAAAAGAACCCTCAATAGACACTGGCCGATAAGAGAAGATGCAGGACCTGAATTGTAGTTGAGCTAGCGTAGTTTGGAGTGCGATACTCTGAGGCCTTTTGGGCCGCGATCGTCTAGCAAAAAGCGTGGCTTGCTAGCTAGGTGCCGGACCCCCGAATACAGATTACAGCTGGGTACAATGATGAGGGGCAGGAGGACATGGCTTTCTCCTAGGCTACACGGTAAGGATCCTTTCGGTGCCAGGGTGCTGGGGAGCTATCTGGTCATTAGCATATCAAGGTGGGCTTAATCCTTCCTAATGGCCAATTACTTCGAGACTCCATATCTGAGATTTGCGAGAGCATATATTGGAATAAGCTATGTGACTCTACTCAAAACTTGTGCCTCCAGGCCTACACTCCCAGGCCCTGTAGGAAACGACGGCGGATGTCCTCACAGATGATGACATTGTTACGCGCGCGCTCTTGAGAATCGCCCGCCCTTCTCTGTAGCCACTCGTTCCGATCTTTGACAAAGGCCGCCATCCGCTCATCGCGCTGCTTAACCATAGCTTGCTGCTGCGCACTCATGCTGTTGACATGTGGCTCAGGCACATCGTCCGACGGTGGGAATTGGGGCTTGCGAGGAATGCGTTTCTCCACAGGCAGTATTTCGAGCTTAGGTCCGGGCAGAGTCTGGTACCAGTACGCGGTAGTGCTCCAATCATCGCGCAAGTGGTTGGCATGTCCAGATTCAAGGGTTACTTTGATCTTTTTGTTGAAGCGCACGGGATCCGTAAGGTGCCAGCGGTAGCTGACCTGGTAGTTGGGCACGTCCTCTTCGTGAATGATAGATCCGCAGAAGGGATACGCGTTCTTCTGCATGCCCCAGCCTTGCGTGAAATAATCCTCTCCACCAGTGCCGTGCATACTCGGCGGCCAAGTGTCATCGTCGATGAAGATCATGTCGTCGCCTTCGCCCCACCACGTGCCCTGGAAGTGCGCGACGGAGTGGTTGCAGCCAATGTACTGGCCAGCGCCTTCCGTCTCTAAAATAACGTAGTTATCCTTCCCATCGAGATTTGGTATCTGGGTCTCGAGGCTGTTGGTCTGAATGCGAGACGGTGCCCATCCGTTGGTGGGATTCATGCGTCGCCAGTGTGCATGAAAGTATAGCGTATCGGCCGGGAGAGGCTCCGCATACAGCTCATAGTCTATATAAAAATATTGAAAATAAGCCTCGTCGTTTTCGTTCTCAATCTCAATACGCGCTCGTTTGTTGAAGGGCATCGTAAGGTAGCAGTTGAACGCTGCAGCGCCACCAAATTTCTTCTCCTCTGACGGCTTAACCGACACCGTAAATGGGAGAGACTGAAAGTTGGCAGCCATAGAATGACCGAGACAGAAAAAGTCGCCGATAGGCGCAATCACGTTTGGAGTGGTCGAATCGTCCCAGTACATCTTGATGAGCACTTTGCGATAGTAGTCGGGATCACTGACTTCGTAGTTCAGGCCGAGAGCGTTGTGGATTTCCATCATGGCAACGCCGGACTTGGAGTATGGAATCAACCCAGGGCCCAGGATCTTGCGGCATGTCTGCACAAACCACAGGTGAGTGATGGCACCGGGTCCTTCAAGATCGGCAAGAACGATGGACTCTCCTGGTAACACAACAAAGGCATCTTCGTTGAGGCCCTTCTGATCCCAACTAGCCACACGAGCACTGCGAGCAAGTTTTCTCTTGGCCATGCTGGCCAGCAGGTCGCTTCCGATGGGCATTTTGTGTTTTGAGAAAGCGCAAGAAGATCGATAAATATCAGACCAAAGACAATGGATAAACTGGCAATTGGAATCTGTAGCGGTAGCATAGGGTCTTTTATATCTACACTTTGCGCCCGCATTGATACTCCATTGTGGCAATTAAGCTTGGTGAAAGCCTGCGTGGTTACGCGGAGTTTGTCGGTCCTTCCGCGACAATTGGATATCGCGGAGCTGCACCCGCCATCCGCGACAGCAAGTGCGGAGTGTGGAATTCCCCATATTAGCGGAGTGCCTGTCCTCTTACGACACGACGGGCCCACCGAGCGTGTGCGCGGAGGACCAAGTACGATAGTATCGGGGCTTGTTTGATCACAAGTTCAGCCACGAAAGTGGGGAGCCAGACGGTGATTATAATCATCGATTGAGGGATTCGTTGATTAGCTGACCTAGTGAGAAATAAGACTTGTGATTCCTGGTAATATTCAAAACGATCCAAGTCTAGGTTTTCCTGGGTGGCACCTTGGAGATGCTCTGTTAACTATTGATAAAATTATTACTATTCTTTAGCTATTATGGGCAAATTTTGGACAATCTTTATTATAATATGTGAGTTCAAAGCTGCGGGTGTAGCTGAAGTTCAGCAATATATAGTGAAATACCAGATTGTAATATAGTAAGAAGATATAAATATGTGCAATACTAGCTGGTAACAGAAGCCAAACCTATCTAGTATCTTTAACTCAGTATATCATAATCTATATATACAGCCTAGCAATCTAACCAAGGAAGCCAAGTTTGAATTAGAAAATATATTGCGAATTCTTCCAAGGAAGCAATATGCTATAGAGACTTTCTGAATGCATATATATCGATTGCTTTGTAGGATTGACCTTAGAACTTTGGTTTTCTGGTATTACTATACTTATTAACATTCTGCAAATAATATATATTTATCAAAATTACTTAATGTATAAGTAGTCACTTCATCAACAAGACTCTATTGTGTGGAAATTCTACATTTCTATCATTGTGGAGTCCTCATGTATATCTTTTGACTTGAACAGTATTCAGTAGCCATACGAAGCAGAGCGCACAACTTCTGTAATATCTATAGGGAAGATACTGCTACCGTCGTCGCAGTATGGGAAGAATTCTATATCAAGTATAAACTGTAGGCGCAGCAAATACGTTAAACTGATAAAATAATTGACTAAATAGAAATCGGTAAGCAATATACATCTAAGCGGAATGGCAGTACATGGTAGACAACCTCATGCCAACGCTTTGGAGCCAAAGCCATTGGGCTGGTATGGAGTGTAATTCAGATCCTGACGTGTCTGGGTCCACAAAAAACTCTTTGGCCTTACTTTCCACTGCTGATCATGTCGTCAAGGCAATCATTCAACATGTGAGCTCGTAGCTTTCTGGTCATCATCTGCCCGGTTGCTCTCTATATCGACACTGCCAACTTGTTCTTTGAAATGTCTGGGTGACACATTTAGTGCGTATAACTCATCGAGTCTCTCGAAAGAAATTCCCTTTCCGTCGATACCTTAGCTAATCCATTATAACATTACATTGAGAGAATGCGAACCTTTGTCTCTGGGTATAAGTACCAGCCACCGACTGCAGCAAGGAGCCCAGTGCCGAGGAAAATAAAACCGACTTTACCTCCCAAGTTTCCAGCATCAGGGTTGATCTGTCAAAAAGTCAGTACACATATCACACCGAATACCAGTTTCATCTGACCATATAAGGGATGGTAAATTGCATGATTAGGCCCCACACTGCATTTGCGATCGTTACCA